AATTATTAATATAAATGAAATGTATATACATACATAAAATAATTAAGGTAGGTATGTATTTTTAAATAATTAAAGTAGATATGTATTTTTAATTATTTTACTATGTATGTATATACATACATAGTAAAATTTATGTTATTATTCTTAAGATCTTAAGATTTTTTATTGTTATTATTATTAATGTGTTTTTATAAAATATATAGATAATATGGTACTTGAAATGCGAAAACTATTACTTGAATCACTCGTACATATGCCGTTAGACATATGCGTGGAGATTTTGCAAATGATAATCAGATAGCATATTCGATTTGCTGACTCGACCCGATCCTGAGTCAACGATCTGTTTTTTTTAGCTGCAAAAGAGAAGATAAACTATGCAAGAAATGCATAGTCGGGTCAAATCAGTAAATCAAATATGCTAATAGATGAAATAGAATTTCAACGAGCCAGACGCCTTGTTTTCCTTCTGATCTGCAAGGTGTACGCTAAATGCTTATGGTGCACTTAGGTACGTTGTCAGATGAAAATGTAATAAAATGTAAGAAAATGTAATAAAACACATCTAATTAGTAAAATATTTTTAAACATTGTTAAACTAGTTTGATGGCCCCGGCTTGTTTGTCATTCCTCGTAATGCATCTATCAAGAAAAAGTACTCGCAACATGGTATTTAGTGAAGAACAGGTTTCGGTATGTCAAGATGTGCATAGGAAAATTGAAAGTTTCTTAAAAAGTCGCGATCTAACGAAACTATTCATGCTTATATATGGCAATTTTAATGAATATCTGAATTATCCTTGTATACTTTCTGCCAATAAAGTAAAATAAAAGATCAACAAGTCGTCACTCTATTTCTGGCTCAGATCAAGCATATGCTTTATGAAATTATGGAAATTTATTTCCTATTTTTTATTCAATCGCTAGCGTGCTGCAGCCACTTCTTTATAAATGTTTCTATGTCGCTTCTACAAGCATTTTTCACTTTCGAAACGGTTTCTGAAACATATTTACACAATTTTGTAAGTAAATATAACATATTTTTAAAAAAAGTTTAGTATCGAGATTTGATTACTCTGGTCAAAATAAATACTGAAAAATAAAATACTTATTAACTCACCGACAATGAGTTGAGAAATTAGGGTATTTTTTAATTGAAGAGTTTTCTTCTGACCAGACCAGGAATACTGCACAGCCAGCTCATCTGACATTAAAAAAAGGAATATGGCTCTAGTAAATTTGCCTGGATCAGATCCTCCGATCATTTTTATCTCGCGAATCTATGAAAATATATATAAATACATCATAATGACTTGCATATTGTTATTGTAAAATATAACAAATAATCTTCTTACATATTGTTTTTGTATTTCGGAGGACTCAACAAGATTCATTTCAAATTGTTCAAAATCTGGGACAGTTTTTAAAGGAAAGTTTGGTAAAAAATTTTCTCCTTTATTTTCTACTTCAATGCCACGATCTTGCAACAAATTAATAACATGGTTCAACTTATTCTTGAGGCACTTAAAGTATGTTAGAAACCGCTCTTCCGTCATTGGTTCTGAAACTATTATTATTCTTTATTTCTTTGTCTAATACCATTAAGTAACAAACAATACTTACGTGTATGATTGCGTTCTTGATCATTATTTGCCGGACGATTTTTCGTATTTCTGGCAGAAATCACATTTATTTCCACATCTGCATTTGTACGACGTGTATGATTGCTTTCTTGCACTTGGTCATCTTTTTCCAAGTAATCTTTTGCATGTCTCGCAGGAACAGGATTTGAATTTATCTCCAAATCAGCATTTGCAACTTCAAAAACAATGCAATTGTTAACACAGGAGTAGTGATGGGATCAAGTTTAATATATACTTAAAAAGCCAAGTCAAATCCAATAAACAAGTTTCATTTTCGAGTAATATTCACAAGAAATAATGTTTCATATATTGTACTTGTAAAGTAATCGAAACTGATTAGTTACTTTCGAATGTTGTAATGAATATACCTGCTAGGATTCAAAATATACTTATAAGTAATTTCTATCGTAAAGAATAAAATCTTTTACAAGTAGTATTCGACTCTTAAGAAATTGAACCTTAAGAAGTTAAAAGAAACTATACAAAAATTAAAAAAAAAATTGCCTATATATTAATCATAAACTTATTCTCTAAATTTGGACAAGTTTTAATATTATATGAAAAGACTAAAGAAGCGCTTTAAATAACATAGCATCATTCTTCAAATCAATTTTCAAAGTAATTAATAAAATGGCATTTCATTCAAAAACTCAAGAAGAAACCTTGGAAGAAACCTTGGAATATTTATTGATTTCTAGAAATATATGAGAAGTTTTCTAAAAATTAATCGTGCTACAAGTACTACTGTAAGTAGTGTAATGTTTGTGATTATAATTTTATATTTCCTATACAGTTTTGAAAACTTATGAATTTCAAAAGTATCTTACTTTTAAAGAACTCGCACTTAGACATTTCGTGCTTTGCAAACTAAGCTAAATGGTTCATATACAAATGATTTTAAGAAGCCGATTAGTCACAATAAGATAAAGGCTATAACAGCAACAAGTAAAGGCCTTAATAAATTTTTGTATATCAAAATTTTATAAGCCTTACAAGTCATATTTCCAGTTCTGCAGCATTTTGAAGGTCCAGGCAAATTGTCTATTGTCCTATCAACGTTATGGACTTTTACAACAAATGTTTTCTTCCCTGAATGTGTTGATACTGGAAAAAACATTAAATAATGTAACTATATGCCTATATTATCATAGAGAAAATATATATAAAAAAATATATATACATATATAAATTAAATACGACATTTACTTTGTTTTTGCAAAGTAATAATAGTGGCTGTTCCAGTATTTTCTTGTTCATGTTCACATGTTGAATCAGAATAGAACAATTTCCGGGAAGAGGACTTTTTCTCTGTTTCATTAATTTCGTTACATTCTTCTGTTATTGGGTTTTTACATTGTAAACATATATTGATTTATATAGTATTATTCATTCACAATTATACCATTCAATAATATAACATTAAGAATGTATTTCACATATAATTACCTAACATATTGTTATTTTCCATTATGTCGATTGATTCTTGTATGGCTACATGTGTTGCATTTGCATTCACCGGAGGTATAGATTTATCCAAATTTTGTTGCTGATAATGAGATGGCGGCAGTATAAATGAGCATGTAGTACAATTATCTGTATCAGAGTTATCTTTGATTACTGAAACAAAAACGAAATATTTTCAACAAAATATTTGAACGCTAAAATTCTGCTGTGATCGTTTTTTTATTGGCTTTTTCATTAATTTAATTGTGTTATACATTATTACATTATATTTATATATACATACATACATACACTTGTATGTGTATGTATGTGTATATATAAATATAAATATAAAAATATATATATAGATAGATAGATATAGATATATATCTATGTATATACACAAAATATTTTGTGAAATATGTATTCTGCATTTTAAAAGAATTGTACTAGAAATGTGTATATCACAACATTACCTTCATCTTCGTCTGATGTGTCGCTAAGATATCTTGGCTTTTTCCTCTTTCGTTTTTTTTCTGCATTATTTCCAAAAAGAGCTTTTGTATACATGTCATCAGTATCTTCATTTGTAGAGGCGTTAATGCAGCTCACTGAGAGAAATACTTTTGTTAAAATAACGAAAGAGAAGTACCTGTAACAAATTTGATTAGTTACTATTGTGACAACAAACATAGCAGTACGAGGGACGAATTTGGTTTGTTACTTTATATTTGCTGTGGTAGCAATTGCCACCGTAAATATAACTAACAGTCTTTCGTTTCTTCAGCTAAATCATTTGTATGACGAGTGATTATGTGAAATCATTATGCTGTTTTATTTGTTTGGCAAAACGTTTGATTTGCTAGGATTACCAATCATTAGTCAGAGTTTTATGAAAGATTTTGACAAATCAGTAGTTATTTGTGCAAATGTGAGTTAAGGGCAGCGATCATGCGTAACTTTTTACATATTATTTTCAATGGCAAAATTTTTCATTTTTCACCTTTCCGTTAGGGAAAAAGTTTACGCGTGATCGCTGTCTTTAATTCACATTTGCACAAATAGCTGCTGATTTACTAGAATCTTTCGCTGTTCTGTTTTATATTCATATTATAGAATTTTTAATGAAGAAAAAAAGCAATGACGTGAATTATTTAGACAATTTATTTTTGATATAATTACCTCATATAATTATAATGTATACATACATTTATTAATTGGATATTTAACTATTCTAAATACTATAATGAAGCACAACAATTTTTTTTCCGGTAGCCATTGTATGCGCATAAAGGGGTTTATAATCAAGTAAATCATTTAATTTTATACATAACCAATCATCAGTCTCTTCTATTTCATATCCTAAAACATGTTCGTATAAACCAATATTCTTAAGGACATTACAAACAAGAATAGGACAAGCATCGTAACTAGGATGAAGAATTAGTTTTATTTTTCCAAAACTTGGGCACAAATCATGAGCACCTGTCGCTACAACCATTCCTTTCTTATAAATAGTTCCCTTATATTCCACCCAATTTGAACTCATACATTCTGTTCCTCTAAGATCAATTGAAAGGTTTTCAAAGAAAGGTAATAATTCATTCAAAAAAAGAATTTGGCCTGAACCGATTTGTGTGTCTGGAATTATGCCTTCTTTGGAAATAAAGCGATAGCACATGCCTAATTGATGTTTGACAGCCAGAGAATGTGCAATATTTACGCGAGACATGTTAGATTTTGCAGACTGAGTCAGGTCTCTATGCTTTGCTTCTGTTCGAATAGTAGACAAGTGAGATATAGGGCCACTTTCTGCAATAACTCTAGGATAATGTATAAAAATGTGCATTTTAGGAGTTAAACATTTTCCAGTTAAAGAGATAAACAATCTATGATGCTCTTCTATGAGAGCTTTTAATTGAAAAGCGGCTCCTTTATATAATCTCTTTGCCAATACAATGTCCATTATTTGACGCAGTAATAAATATAATTGCCAAAACTGGTTTTCTTCATTAACAAGATCACCCACAATTACTCCAAATAATCTGACAAAGCAAAGAATTTCGGATCCAGTCATTTTCAGTTTTTGTTTTTTAAAAAGATTATCAGTTGTTATACAAGGAGGTTTATTTATAGAATGTTTTGGACCATAATCAAACATCAGCATCCTGTTATTCAAATTTTCCAAAGTAAAATATTTACTATTTATAAGATTAGTGATAACATGGATCATAACAATATTACAAAGGCCTTCTCTTAGATCATGAAGCTCATCTACACTTAGATTTTCAACCATATGATATGATGGTACTTCATGAAACGTACATTCTTCTTTTAATCCTGTTTGTGTATAGTCGTTTAACTTTAAGTCCTCTTTATAACTAATAGGATCTCTCAAAAGTGCACATTCTTCTACACATCCTATATTCGCATCTTGTGTGTCAGATTTATGCATTTTGCAAATTCTGCAAAAATAGTTTGCAGAAAATGACTCTACCATTCCAAGAACTCCATTTAAGCCTAAATTATCACCAGTGATAAGTGCTAATACAAAATAAACATGCTTATCTCCTTCACTACTTTTAATAGTAATACCATAATTTTCGAGTCTTTTTAAAACATTTACAAGAGGAGCAAAAGGTTGCCTTATTTTTAAAATATGGTCTCGTCCAACCTTCAAATAAAAGTACTAAAAAAATATTTTTTAGAATGGAACAACATTCTGGAGGGAGACATGGCACTGTCACATAGACAGCACCAAGTTTTCCTGAATGACTTCCTAGAGGATTGTTTACCTCTAAATCATCGAAATATACAAACAAAGGAAAAACAATATCCTCTTTACTATATTTTTGTTTTTTTTGTCCCCTATTAAGAAGCCCTGGACAAAGTTATGAAGACCCTTACTATCTTTTTCAAGGAAATCCATGTAATTTAAAGTTTCTTTTAAAGCACCAGGCAATTCAAAAAACTTTTGTAGCATAGAATCTAATGGAATATACTGACCATATACAGAAATATATTTTCCCTTCATAGTATTATTACATCTTTCTGCACAAAACATTTTACCCATTTCATATGGAATTGGAACTATATAATCACCTGCATTTGAAAAATATTTGCAACGAAGATATTCTGATTGTAAATGTTTGAAAGGGTTTTCTAATATCTTAAACATTAACTCTATGTCTAGAACTTCATTTTGAGCGCACTGACCAGTTTGTAGAACATTTAAAACTTTTTCTCTTAAAAGTGCCACGTATTCGCTCCCAACCATTAAACTGGAATCGACAACTACTTTTTGAATTAAATTTCTGGGAAAATGAGGATTACTATA